TCCCTGAAGGACAATGCAGCAGTTCTCAGCTTTGCCACACCACTCTGCTCCTGACCTATCACTCACATCTGTGAAGATGCATCCCTTACACATGTGGATACAGCACCAAGTTTCTTCAGGAGCATTTGAAGCTCTGAGCTGGCTGTGTGGAGGCAGCATTCATTACTTTTAACATCCAAGCTTTTTTCCCCAAGGAAGACAAGACAAAATATGTCTGTTTGAGGACTTTTGCAAGAGCCCTGTAGAAAAAGGCCCTGGAGGGAAGAGGGAGCCCAGGAAATATGTGTAGGAAGTCAGGTAAAAATGCCAGGAGACCTCTGTAGGTGAACAAGGAGCACCTCCAAACTCAAACACAAAAAGAAAGAATAGAGAAGGTGGAATCAAAGGCAGGTAACCTGTGAGGAATACAGACATTGTTCAGGTATGCAGGGATAAGGTCCCGAAAGTTAAAGCCCAGTTGGAACTGAAGATGATAATGGATGTCAAAGAAAATAAGAATGCTTCTGTAGAGGACAAACAAAATACTGGGGAAAATGTGAGCCCACTGCTCCCCCTGCCCTTCTCTCTCAAATTTGCCCTAAACCAGGACATATTCCTACTATAAATCTCACTCCATTACTTTAGACTAGACTCAATAAATAGAACCAGCTCTGTACTCCTTACTGGACCTGCTCTTCTTTGTTTTGTCTAATAGAATTCCTAGGATTTCCATACATAATGTTTAAAGAGTTCTGGAAAAGACAAAGGCATATATGCAAAGGAAACAAGCAGGTGGGGCTTTTGTGGGGTTTTTTTAGTTGGGTTTTTGTTTGTTTGTTTATTTTTTGTTTTGTGTTGTTTTGGTCAATACCTGTGAGCTGGTTTGGCTTACAAATTCCTAACTGAAGAGGCTCAGCAATGGCACTGCAGAGAAATAGAAATCATCTTCTATAATACCATCACCAAATTATCTTTGTCCTGGGGCTGATTTACCTTTTGCAACCCCAGCTACATCCAGAAGCACACACTAGTCTCTTGCAAGCTTTCTCCTGCATCTCTCTGTACCTTACAACACTGTATTTTGGCATTTAGGTGTTTCACATGGTAGCATTTTACTGAGAATCTCTTCTGACATCCACAGGCAATCACCTTTTGTCACAGCGTTGCTTTTAGTTACATTTCCAACAGAAAATAAGCCTAGGAACTACAACGTCCTTCTTCCAAGGCTGTCAATTCAGCAAATAGCACAAAGATTAAATATAAGTTGTATGTGTATATTTGCACAGATATGATCTATTATAATTTTTTGAATGCTAAATCCTATGTTTTGTCACTACATAATACAAAAGGCTTTCAACCAGCGACACAATCTAAACAGACAGAAAAAAACATAAGATCTTAAACAAAGACTCTGTGCTTTTACAAAATATTTAACCTTTTACTTAGACTAGTGCCAGGGCCTCACAAAGAACGTAATGTATTCAGGAGGGAATGGAGAAAGGGCACTTCCCTTCTGCAAAAGGATTGAGAAGGAATTCCAAACATGAAGATAAAAATCAAAATCAAATGGAAAAATGAGACAAAGCAGTAAGACAGAATTTGTTCATTATGTGTTTCAGTGAACTTGTTCTGATTTCCTGTAATGTACCTTAACTGCAACGTTTATTTGCTAAATAGATAGTCCAAGCCTCTAATCTATGAACTTCCACAACTAAAATTTGCTAACTACGTAGCCCAAAATAAAATACATATTAACATGCTTAAATTGGAGGTGAGCCCATGGAAACCAGTGCATCCATATTACATACGTAATCTCAAACACGTAGATCTCAAACACAAGCATTTATTTTAAATTGACCATTTAGTTCTCACTGACTCAGAATTACGTAAGTGCCACCAAGGAACTGGCCTCTGGCAGCATGCACACATAAATCTGTTCAAGCACTGACAGGACTGTTAGCTGAGACATCAGAAGCCCAAAATCTGGGTCCTCAAGACATGTATTTCCATATTTATCTCATCTAGCCGTTCAATCTCACTGGCAGACTCTGAGGACAGTCTCTTTTAAGAGCGAAGTTGTCAAAATACTCCTGCCAGGATAGGAAAGACCAAGGTAAACCACTAATGCCCATGGCAAATTTAGCCTGACAATGCGGTAATCTCTTCTAAAATACCTTTGGCACTAATACACCAAAAATTTCCCATCATCCAACTGCATGCCCTGAATCATGATAACTGGGAGACTGAGATGACCCCAGATTCTGCACGACACAGGCTGATCTAAAAGCAAATAAATGTTCTTGCTCCTTCACAGCAGTTCATGCCAGTGTATGATTTACACAGGCTGATCTGGCACACATTTACATTCCTGTAAGGGCTTTCTGTAGTTTTTCACTATATCACTTCATCTCCCCCCAGCTATAAAAAGAGAATGGTGGAATTAATGTAACATTACAGAGGCACCGTCAGTTATAACAATTAATTAAAAGAAAATAAATATTCAGAATAGAGAGTTGATTCTGTTTTATTGAGGTAGAGCTTTTTTTTAAAACAACAAAAATTTTATCTAAGCGAGGAAGACCTGTTGCAGAAACTAAAGCTAAATACAGACAATGATACAAAATACTGCTTTAAAATCTGATAATTAACACTTGTAGTATACCAAGCATCTGTTCCACAGCTTTTATTCCCTGCGGTCAAAATTCAAGCCTTTGCAATTTGTGTAGTGCAAAGGTAGCATGATTCAGCATCTTTTCCTGTATTTAGAACAAATCCAGATTTATAGGCTGTTTTTACCACAGCAGTATGAAATATTCCAAAACAAGTTCTGAGAAAAAGTAATTAAAATGTGAAGCTTAACAAAAGATGAGACAAAGCCTAAAGCCAAATAAAAACCCTTCTAAACTTCTTTGATATTATTAAGATCTGTAATTTTTATAGGGAAAGGAGAAATGCACTAGATCGCATCTATCTGGACATTGTTAAAAACTTGATATGGTGCAATGCTGACATTTATGTCTATTTTGTGGAAGTTAGTTAAGAAAGAAGAGGCTGGAAGAAAATTTTCAGCATTTTCCCTCGCAAACAGTTGTTACTTAACATTTTAATTAATGACTTAAAGACAAGGAGTGGCGACACACCTTTGATACAAAATAAGAAATATAGCATATAGAAAGAAAAAGGGAAAAATAAAAAAAAACAATGTACAACTTAGAATTATGGAGGGCAACATTGTAGTAAGATGCAAAATTTTCTCAAGAACAGATTTTCTTTTATCTTTGATCTTTGTATACTTTCGATGCAAAATTTTCTCAAGAACAGATTTTCTTTTATCTTTGATCTTTGTATACTTTCAAGCCTAATCAACAAGAAGAGAGATTTAGTCTGTGAAACAGACAGCAGCCCATGAGCCCTAAGTGATGTCCAGGTGTTAGAAAGACAAATTACTGGTTGGTAGAATTGGTAGAAAAAGAACAGCTTTAGGGCCTGACAGGTTTCAGTGATCTCACACACAGAGGGAGGCTAACAAAGTTGGAAAAATAAGGATGTGCCACTGACAGCAGACACAAAGAATGCAGAATTTATGAGCCACAAGGACACTGGGCAGAACCCCCAGGATGAGGAAGAAACTAATAAACCTCACCCAACAACTGCGCTGGATCAACTCTGACTGGGTAAAAGGTAATCCTGCAGGGGGAGATCCCGACCACTGACTCACAGATCATTGACCCAAAAACCCATCCGCCCAAAAGAGAAACACCATGGGACTGATTAGCACGAGAAGCAAGAGAATCCTTAACCAGTAGAAGATAGAAGAGTAATTAATACGAGAGCCATGAAACTTGTAGCTAGTGAACTCTAATTCCTCTTTGCTGAAATGTATAAATAGCAGAAGGTTTTGATAGTTGTTGGGCTTGATTTGTGGAATTCCACTGGGTGCCCAGGCTAAAAGAACTCTGAAATAAAATACTCCACGTGTCTTTCCTCATGGGTGTAATTATTGGCTTATATTGTAATTATTGTTGGACACTGGGAAACAAATCCGATTTTTGTGGACAACAACATCATGCACTTATAAATTAAGAGGTTATCTCAGAAACCCAGGTCAGAAGGATCTGTTTGCTGGGGTGTGTTTGAATCTGTCAAGGTAACGAAAGCGTCATGCAAAGGACACGAGTGGTAGACACTAACAGCAAATTTTATTACGTAATAAAAGCTTTCTAAACTAATGATCTGTACCAGAAGCAGGGCATTCATTATTTGTGTTAATAATGTGTCTGGTAGCCCTTTTATTTTGGAAGAAAAGATAAAAAA